TCTGGTTTTAAACTGGCACCATAACTGGGTACGATGTTCAGAGTGGTAGGCAATCTGCTACTTTACTACTCCCCCACCTGTACACCTAACAAACTTGCAGTATAGTACGTATAAAACATTTCTGAAGCTTGTAGCTGTTATAATCTAAGATGTCATAAGACTTCATTTTTAAAAATATGTTAGATATAATATTTAACTGGTGGCAAGAAATGTTAATGAAAGGAACCAAGACAGTCTCCTATTCAGAAACTGGGGCATAAGTGGATTTTTTAAAAGAGAATTTACTGGTACTTATTGTTAAAAATATTTATAGATATTTTACTTGTAGTACTCACAAAATGCAATTTACAATTTATACACCATTTCTTAGGAACTATTAAAATCTCTGAAGTTAAGAGGTCTCACAATATCAACAACTGAGTTTACCTTATTCAGTATTTGATTAAGCAAGTCTTTAGAGCTAAATATGGTGGCAGTGCCTCTACTTTCCTACGTTTTTCTTGCCACTACCAGGAAAACTGCAAGCTCTAGGAAACAGTCAATTGCATTTTGTCAGCTCTGCTCAGTAAAAATCTGTAGGGAGGGGGTTGTGTGTGTACCTGATTGGTCCCCAGTGTTTCAGTCTGTTTCATGCTATCTGGATAATGTAAAGGCTTGGCCCTGCACAATCAGAGTCTAACAGGAATCATAGCATAATGTCCCTCTTGCAAAGGAAATTTATTTATTTTCCCAGATTGTCCTGGGACTTTAGTTTAGTACTTGTGTCACTTTTCCATTCATATTCCATTCATTTCAATGCATTTTGGTTGGAAGTTTTTCCTTACTTCGTTTATGTTTTGTTGTTGTTGTTTTTACACAAAGGGAGTGATATCTTTATTACACTATTACAAAAAATGTACCAAACACTAGCTTTCAACACATACATTTGTCTGTGTGTATGGTGCAGAGAAAAACATAGGAATTTATTTCCCAAAAGCATGGCCATGTGCACAGACCAGGTATCTTTGCTGAACAGATACTGTATAAACTGGGGCTGCCATTCTGAAGTTTAGGTGTCAGTTTCTACCTCTAGTGGTGTGAACTGGAACATCTTTCACAGCCCTCTTAGACAAAAGGACTACTAGTCATTGAATGTTCTTGCCTTATAGTGGAACTCGTGGTTCCTTTTTGCTGGGGTGGGAGCATGAATATACAGAAATGTGTCAAACCCCTTCTCAGAGACATTGGGATAAAATTCAGTCTATACTAGATGAGTCAATTACAGTAAGTTTGGCAATATTACCTAATAACTGGACAAAAATGTTGTCTTTGCTTTGCAGTCCTGGTGTTAAATGTCCATGTTTGATTGTAGACAGTGCCTTGGTTGGCTATGTGAGCCTTTCACAGCATTTTCTTCTTCTTTCGTTGGATTTTTCATTTTCTTTTTCTTTTTGCTTGTTCAGTGGCACAGCACGGATTGGCAAAATGAACTAGAAGAAACAAGCAAAGTTCAGGGAGAAATAACTCCTTTCCTGTGGGTATGGGTTTTAAGAAAAATTATGGTATTACAGTACCTGGATCTGAAAGGTGGGCTCCCCATCTACCCCCTCATTTTTTAGATCGCTTTAAAGATGCAGAAACTGGTAAACTGCATATTTTGAGGACAAGCAGAACCTCAGGGTTTTGATGTTTTTCTCAGTCATTCCTTATCAAATGTTTAAAGCCTGATCAGGATTGTTAAAATGCTGCCACAACTTTCAGGGAGACATTCCTATTTTATTCAGTGCAGATGAGAGGGGAAAAAATGAACAATACTACTTTTGTTTTAGAAGAAAAGGCATATTGAACAATAGTATATTTGAAAATTGTCTCTGGGGTTTTTTGAAGTCCCTGTCTAATTTGAAAGGGGACTTGTTAAGGGGACAACTGAAACAAATTTATAACATAGGCCCTGTAGCATAACCACTTAATCTCTCTGTCAGTCTGCAAATAGTCTATTGAATTTTGCTTCCACAGTATTAAAGCTTTGTCTCACTTTAATGGGGCACGCCTGTCACTTCCCTGCTGAGAAAAGTAACATGCGACACAAAGATTATGGTCAAATATATACCTATGCAGTACATATTGAGTTCTTTGATTGGTGTGTGAGATATTTTAATAATTTTTTGTCTAAGTACAATACAGTACAATATCCTTTATCTTACTAGAAACAAACCTATTTTCACAAGTCTTTATCTAATTCCAAGAAGACAAAGCAATTTGTATTGTTAACCAGGAATTCAGTGATTCTCTCTTTGCTCAGACGAAATGGAAGACTAGCTGCAAAGCATCCTGTTTACTTTGTTCTTTGGACTTTTAAAGGAGCACAAGAAACAGGAAGTGAGGAACTATCAGTTCTGTGCTTGATACTCCAGTGCTTGGCAGTATATGAAAGCAGTTTCATATTTGGGGTGCAGGAAAGGTATTTTTAATTATATACAACACTGATAGTAGTTTACATTGCCCTGCTGTTAACAAATGGTAGCAATAATATGCAGACATACAGGATGTTTGTCAGATAAAAATAGAGCATATATGCAACACTTGCTGTTTGGAAAGAGTGAGTAAACCTGACAGCTTGTTTTAATCTCTGGACCATTAATGAGTGCCATAGAAACAAGGCATGATTCCCTTGGAGCAATGGTCACCGGTAAAAACATGCAAATTTTCCTGTTACCAGCAGGTGTATATAATTCTCTTGGCCCTCTGCTTTATGTTAAATGAGTTTATGTTTTAATTTTAAAAAGGATATCACCAAATAGTGTACTGTGAAGTGAATATTTAAACAGGCTCTCGCTTACAGTAATTTCTTTGCTTTAGTTGCTCTGCTTAAATTCATATGATTGAGTTAATAATATCCTCATCAGTTTAGTCTTTTGCATACAAACATCCTAGGTGCCTAATTAGGGAAATGGCAAGAGAAAAGTCTGCAAAAACACCCTATAACAACATAGGAAAACTCTTGTTTAAAAAGACACACTCAGTTTTATACATTTACGTATCCAGACTATGAGGGATTGCATACGTGGGTGACCCTCATTCTGCCTGTTCCAGTTAACCAGAGCTGGGAGGTGAAAACAAATTTTAATTGGCTTTTTGCTTCCAGGATGTGGAAAGCCTGAGGCATGCGTTCTCCTTGATTTCATCCCACTCCTGGTTGTTTCCTCTCTTCCCTCATATGTGATTATTGCAGGCATTTAAGTACCATGAATTCAGACCTTAGTTCTGTGATAGTGATGGTATCCTACACTAATGTGGGAGAGCAGCAATGAGAAGTTGAAGGAGAGCCTGTAGGAACAAGGTATGGAATGAAAAAAAAAATCACATAAACTTTGGTTTTATTTTAGTTCAAGAGGAAGAACAGGAAATTTAACAAAAATAGCTTATATTTGAAAGCAGAGGGCAAGGTGGTATTGTGTAATTATTTCCCCTTCTGTTGTCTTGTGGTTGTATTAGCCACGTTGGCTGGCCATGATTTGATTTATATTTGACTCATCTGGAAGGTGGCAGCATGGGAGTGGCTGTTGGAGGTGTTCTGGGAGAGAATCCTATACAGGTATTACACAGAAAGGGCAGTGCTTATGATATATATGTAGCAGTCCTTGTTAGAATAACACATCAAACTAGTTTTTATCAAGTGCAGCATCTATAGTTTCATGAAAGACTGAAATGATTCACCAGATTGCAGGCTGCTTCTGTTGCCTCTAGCTCATACTGTACTTCTAGAAGGAAAGCCACAATATTTGTACCTTCAAAGGCAAAATGCTGGCTGGCTTTGACAAGAAACTTCAAGAAATAAATTTCTGTTCCTTACCATCATATCATATGCCAGCATACTGAAGATAGTGTATTTGTGTGGTCTGCACAATGGCACGTGTTTCAAGAACACCACATCAAACTTAGTGCTTGTTGTTAGCGCTTCCAATTGATCATGGAAAGGAGTGAGGCAAAGAATGTAATCTATGAGAAACCCTTTTGTTATTTAATCAAAATTTGCTTTCAATATTTTGGATGGGAAACCCAGCTCCTACTTTTTTTCATGAAAAATACTGGAAGTAATATATCTGGAAGAATGTAGAGTATGGCATGCAACAAAGCCCTTAGCTATAGGAATGCTAAAGTAAAATGTAACTTGCCTTCTGTATGTGTACTGATTCAGTTCATTATTTTAGCTCCTTGACTAAAGAGTTATATTCTATCAGTATATCAGTTACCTTATAGGTCAGGGGTTGTTGAATCACTGCCCTTCAGGCTACAGTTCCTGTGAATCCTTTCCAGCATTTATATCACATCCATAATATAGTGGGGTCTTGACTTGAGAACTTAATCCGTATTGGAAGGCGGTTCTCAAGTCAAAAAGTTCTCAGGTCAAATCTGCATTTCCCATAGGAATGCACTGAAAACCATTTGATCCGTATCTGCTCTTTTCTGGCCATAGAAACCAATGGGAAGCTGCTATTCTGCTTTCAACCACTAGAGGGGGATATTTTGTTTCTTTTTTTTCTTAGGTCAAGAAAGGTTCAGGGAAGGCAGGGAAAATACAGTCCAGGCAGTACCAGGGAGTCTGAAGACTCCCAATCCACTCTCTAAACGCTGGGAGGAGCGAGGAAGCAGACAGGCACCCTTTTCACTGGCCAACAGTTAACTGAAAGTTCAAATTTTGCACTTTCCCTGCCTCCCACGTGGTTTTTTTCAGTTCTTAAATCTAAGTATGTAAGTCAAGTCAATATTTTCCTATGAGAGCGGTTCTTAAGTCAAAATGTTCTTAACTCAAGCCGTTCTTAAGTCAAGACCCCACTGTATACATCTGAAGGGCCATGTTGCCAGTTCCTGCTGCAGGTCCTAGATTTCATGATTTAGACAACATGTCTACAACATGTCTGTCAAATATGATTGCTAGTCAGTGAAACTGATCAAGGTTGTTGTAAGGGCTGTTTGTTTTTTTTCTGTTGCACTCCTTTATTTTCAGTTTTTCTTCCTAGATTCTTGGTGGAACGATGGACAAGCAGTTCACAGAAGAACAAAGAACTCTGGCAGCAGTCAACCTGTCAAGGACCAATGATGAATCCTTGAGCTCATCAGCTGTTGTGGAAGCTGGCAAGCCACTGGGGCTTCAGAGTGGTCTAGACACTGATGATGAAGAAAAGATTGTGACGACAGAAAATGAACAGGTAGCATTGGATCTCTCCTCACCAGCAACTAATGCAAGTGGGAATGGACATATACCTGAAGTGCAGGCTGCACCAGATCTTCAGGGAGGTGGAGATCTTTGCACTGATTCATTGGAAGTACAAGCAAAAGAATCCAGTGAAGCAGAGGGCTCATCTGATGGAGGCAGAGAACAGCAGAGTTCAAAAGCAGTTGAGACAAATCCATCCCTAATAGACTTTTTGCAAGATCCTGGGAAAAGACCTTTGGGGGTCTGTTCAGAAAGCCCATATGATACAGAATGTACTAAGAACCTTATCTCATCTATACAGAATGCTTCCTCCCAAGAGGCTTTATTAGAGGAAATAGAATCTGAACTTTTGTCAGCAGATTTATTGAAAGGCCATAAACTTTCAAATGGAATGTGCAAGAGTGAGGTGACATTAGCTGTATTTGAAAAATGCATGCACGACAAATATCTCCAGCAAGAGCACATGATAAAGAAGTGAGTACTGGGACATCAACACTCTGTACTGCATGCTTTGGACTGGGGAACTGGGATTTATAACAATCCTCTCTTTCTGAGTTGTACGTAGTAGTAGCTTGTTACTTCTGGAATGTAGATCTATTTATTCAAGGTGGGGCACTAGATTTCTACCTGTTTCTCCACCCAGCCTCTTCAAACTTTAGCCTTCTAAAAGCGTCTTCTGAGGATTGATGGCATCTGTAGTAATGTGGGTTGCAGCAAAAGCACTTTGCCCTAGCACAAATCCAATATTGGATTTAACCCTCCATATTTACATTAATGAAAACCTGAAGTTACTATGTTGGGTTAACATCAGCCCAACTTAGCAAGAATTACAATAAGTTGGTGGTGACACAGCAGTTGCTCCTTAGTAAAAGAGTCAAAAGATAATGAGTGGCTGAGCTGTCACAATGCTTTGTTTATCGATCAGTCATCTCTGGTAGCATAGTAACATACAGACTTGGCTGGGGTCAATAATAATGAATGCAAGTTTACTTAGTACTGTGTGTTAAGCACTGAGTGTCTTAAGCATTGTGTACTTAACTGCTGAGAAGGAGTTATGGATAATGCAAAATATGGATTATAAATAGATGTTACTGCCCCATATGGTGGTGACTAACATGCACCTTGAAGATAATCAGATCTTCCAGGCTCAGAGCACAATATTGGTTCTCCATGATAAAATTGTTTAGAAAGATATAAGGGACTTTGCTTTCTCTTAGTTTCCTCCTGCACTAGTAGTGGTGGGTGGCAACTTCCGAGATCATTTCTCTCCCCTGGACCTTGGAGGGCACCCCCACAGCCCCTACTGATGTCTCTGAAAGTGGCAAAACTCACCCATTCTAAAGGTATTTGATTTATGTTTATGTATTTTTTAGGTCTTCTGGGCTTTTTCAGCCAGCATAATTAAATTGTAAACCGCCTAGAAGTGTTTTGAGCACTATATAAGCAGCACACTGCTTTTTACAAGCCTCCCCTCCCCCAGAAAATGACTGTTGAGTCTGTTCCAGGTTCCAGAAAAGGTGCTTTCTCCTTAAACAGGCCTTGGAGGTGGTATTTAAATTGCAAATTACACTTTTATCCTTTCCTTAGGGTTGTATTTCGGCTGCACTTCAGAGATAGAGATTGAATAACAGTGAACTGAATTTTGTTTACTAGTGGCATATTATTGAATTATGTGACGTAACATAAAGCATTTAGAATATACAAAAGATTATAACATTTTCTGATGTATCAGGAAGTTTAATGTGGCTTCAGTTTTAACTGAAAAAACTCAATAGCTCTCCATTTCATAGTTGTAGATGTGGGACACCCCTGCATCTTTAATCCCCCAACTCAGTGTAGGATCTGTTGTACTGGATGCAATTGATGGATTTATTGATTGATTGATTGATTGATTGATTGATTGATTGATTGATTGAATTTGTACCCCGCACCATCTGGCAACCAGTCCACTCTGGGCATCTAACAACAATATGTGCAACAATATTTAAATACGATAAAAATAAATTAAAACATAACCAAATAGGTTAAATTAAAACAGGTGGCAATGAAGGTGGTAAAAAGGGTGATTGAGAGGATGGCAAAAAGGATGGTAAAAGGGAGGCCAAGATCTTAATGCTGTGGGAAAGCCTGGCGGAAGAGCCAGGTCTTCAATGCTTGTTTGAACCCATCCAGCAAGGCTGCCAGGCAGATCTGAATTGGAAGGTTGTCCCCTCCAGGCCTCCTTCAGGATCAAGGCCCTCAACCGCCCTGCCTGTGAAGAACGGGTATTACGGACAGATGTGGCTGGGGGCAGGCGTTCTGATAGGTACCGAGGTCCTAAACCATTTAGGGCTTCGGATATTATCATCATAACCTTGAAGTTGATGTGGAAATGAACCAGTAGCCAATGAAGGGCAACCAGGGTGGGGGAGATGTGCTGGAATGTCTTTACCTCAGTTATTAATCTGGCTGCCAAATTTTGGACCACTTGAAGTCTCCACATCAGCCTCAAGGGTAGCATCACATAGAAAGCACTGCCGTAGTCTATTCTCGAGATTACAAGGGCATTAATTGGCATCGTGAGTGCCCCCACATCTAGATAGGGACGCAGCTGGGCAATCCACTAAATATGGAAATGGGCTGCCTGGACCAAAGATGCCACCCGGGTTTGCATGTTGTACCACAGATGCCACCTGGGTTTCCATGTTGTGATCTGGGTTCAGGCAGATGCCCAAGCTGCGAACCTCATTCTTCGTGGGAAGAGTCACTCCCCCAAAGGAGAGGGAGTTTCCCAATCCACTTACGCCAGGGCCGCCCATGCGCAAGATTTCCATTTTGTCCAGATTCAGCCTCAGTCCATTTGCCCTCATCCACTCCAGAATGGTGGATGCCGCATTCAAGGGTCAGAACAGCATCCACTGCAGTTGGAAAAAAGGAGAGGTAGAGCTGGGTATCATCAGTGTACTGATGACACCAGGCCCCACAACTCTGGATGACCTCACCCAGCAGCCTCATATAGATATTAAATAGCATTGGAAAGATGATCGACCCCTGCAGAACTCCACAGTTGAGGATCCATGGGGTGGAAGTCATCTCGCCAAGCTGCACTCTCTGGGGACGGTCCTCCAAGAAGGAACGGAGCCATGCCAAAGCGAGGCCACCAATTACCAACTCGGAGAGCCTTCCCAGGAGGATACCATGGTTGACAGTATCAAAGGCTGCTGAGATATTGAGGAGGACCAACAAGGAAATATTGCCCGTATCAAAGGCCGCTGAGATATTGAGGAGGACCAACAAGAAAATATTGCCCCTGTCTGCCTCCCTCAGGAGGTCATCCTGCAGGGCGACCAATGCTAGTTGACCATCTATCTTCTGTTCATGCAACTTCCTCCACTGATGGAGAGCCCAAAGTTCTCTGGGGCCGTCTCTCTCACAATTTAACAGCTCCTCTTGCTTCTGATCTTTGTCTCCGCTGAGATATTGAGGAGGACCAACAAGAAAATATTGCCCCTGTCTGCCTCCCTCAGGAGGTCATCCTGCAGGGCGACCAATGCTAGTTGACCATCTATCTTCTGTTCATGCAACTTCCTCCACTGATGGAGAGCCCAAAGTTCTCTGGGGCCGTCTCTCTCACAATTTAACAGCTCCTCTTGCTTCTGATCTTTGTCTCTGATTCTTCTGTGGATGCCTACTAGGGTATGTGTAATATCGTTCACTGGGCAGGTCTCCGTGTTTGACGGTATGTATGTATTTAGTATCTGAACAGCTATGTTGCTCTCCCTTCCTCTGCATGCAAAGAAGTGTAATGAAAAGCAAATTGTTATCACCTAATGCTTGCAGGTGTCATCTGAGCCCTTAGTTGAGCTTTGATTACGGCAAATGGTGGCTGAAGTCTGTTTGGCCTTGCTGCTCCTTATCCCCGTAAGGTGAAGGAGGACACATCCATGAAAGCAATCCCTTCTCTCTCTAATTAAGTCAGGGGTCTCCAAACTTTTCAGAATGAGGGTCACAACGTATATGTTCCAGATTTTCAAGGGTCGAAGGAAGACATGCACGCATGTGTACGCCCACCTGGATGTACACATTCCTGCCTGCCCACACACTGGGCTGGATGTGGCTCACGGGCCGTAGTTTGGAGACCCCTGGATTAAAAGCAAAGCAAAGTGTGCTGCTTATATACTGCCCCGTAGCACTTCAAGCACTCTCTGGGAGGTTTACTAGTTAATAATGCAGGCTACACATTGCCACCACCACCCCAGCAAGCTGGGTACTCATTTTATCAACCTCGGAAGGATAGAAGGCTGAGTCAACCTTGAGCCGGCTACCTGGGATTGAACCCCAGATCGTGAACATAGTTTTGGCTGCAGTACAGCAGTTTAACCACTGCGCCACGAGGCTCTTAAGTGATAAGAAGTGAGCTTTTCCTTCAAAGTAGCCTCCATGGATGGAGGGATGGATTTTGTTTTAGCATGTCTTTTCCCAAGAATCTTTTGGAAAGTATACAAAAGTTTGCTTACCTGTATGGAAAAGTTTTTAGGGTTTCATTTGTCTCTGCCAAGCAGGGCTGAGTCATTTTGTCAATTCAGCATTACTATCATGCTGTCCTGCAGGGACAACAATGTTTTTTCCTTCTCCATAATCACTTATTTCATGTACACTATCTTTCATACAGAAGGCTTCCAAAAAAAAAGAGAGAGAGAGAGAGACTGTGCTGTTAGAGGTCTTGTTGGGAGACTGATACAGGCCATTTGTAAATTTTCTCCACAGGGCACCCTAAGCAAAGGAATTGTGGCCAGATTCTACTCGGAGAATTATTAAAACTGCTTGAACTCCAAATATTCTCAGGTTTCAGTATGGCTGTTATAGGCTGAAGGCAGAGAGCCAACAAATTAAACAGATGCTTGTTCTTTCTCTTTACAGCTTATTACCTAGACAACAGTGGACTGCTTTGTGTGCTTCTAAACATGTAATTTGCCCTGAAATGCTGCCCAGTCTTTTAAACACAAATATTGAGATGAAAGTATCATAAGCGTCTTTTTTATTTGTTTGTGAACCAATTAATAGAGTTTTTGTTTGAAAGCTGCTTTCAGTAGGTCCAGATTACATGTGTTAGGAAATGCATGTAAATGGGTATTATGTGTATTCAGTTGTGCATTCTGAGTTTTACCAATATATGTGCAGCACATATGTACTGGATGTACTTAAGGGTTTTTTAAAAATTAGGAAAAAAATCACAATTAGTTCTATGATTGAACATTAGCCATATCAGGAATATGAAGTCTGAGTTACAAGTTCTGGAATTCCTCAGCCAGCATGGTCAGTGGCCACGCTTGTTGAGGAATTCTAGAATGATGACAACTGCTACTATTGCTATTACTACCAACAACAAACATAATGATAATAAAACCATTTCCAGCTTTCAGGATGAAGAAATCTGGTGTCTTCATACCTTACTTATATCTGGCTTACCGCTAGTGAAAAAATAGTATGTTGAACTGGTTCGCAGTCCATCAAGACTTCTGTTAAATTCTTCTTTTGCTACCCTCTTGAGCAGATATTTGAGCTTATTTATGCTTTATGAAGGGATGTGGTGGCGCTGCGGGCTAAACCGCAGAAGCCTGTGCTACAGGGTCAGAAGACCAGCAGTCGTAAGATCAAATCCACGCGACGGAGTGAGTGCCCGTCGCTTGTCCCAGCTCCCGCCAACCTAGCGGTTCAAAAGCATGCAAATGCGAGTAGATTAATAGGGACCACCTCGGTGGGCAGGTAACAGCATTCCGTGTCTAAGTCGCACTGGCCATGTGACTACAGTACAAAAGATTGTCTTCGGACAAAACGCTGGCTCTATGGCTTGGAAACGGGGGATGAGCACCGCCCCCTAGAGTCGAACACGACTGGACAAAAAAAAAATTGTCAAGGGGAACCTTTACCTTTACCTTTATGCTTTATGCACGTGGAGCCTGTTTAAAGTGGGTGGGAATTCTGGCCCTCCAGAGGTTTTGGACCACAGCTTTCACAGTCCCTTACTGTTCTGTGTTCGGTGTGGTTTCTGGGAATTGAAATTCCAGACAACTGAAGGTTTGCCAGCCATGTTTTAGAACAATCCTTTGGTGGAAGCTGTTTAAAAGAAACCCTGCTTCCCCTGCCCAGAAGTTAAAACAGTCTTTGGGTCTGTGATCTTTAGAGCAGTGTACCATGCAAAAAAAAAATAAAATTAAAAAAAAAGGCATGGAGAATCCCCAATGTAGCCCACAGTCATCCCAAGAGCAGATGATAGCGATTTAATACCTTAGGTGTGGAGCAAAAAGAGAAATATAGTATATGATGGAGGGAATGATGAGAAGGAAGGCTGTTAAGGACACTGAATTAGACTTCGGTTGGGCCCAAGGGCTAAGAGAATGTGGGGAGTCTTCTCTGCTTGGGACTGGCAACGAGAGGTCACGCTGTGCCCAGCAGCTTTTAAAAATATATATATTTAAAAAGCATCTGGTTTTGTTTTAACATCTAGTGTAGGTTTTTCCAACCTATTGCCTTTTTCACTACCCATCAGCATGGCCAGGAATTGTGGATTTGTAAACACTAAGTTGAAGAAAGTTCATTCAGGCAGACAATCTACAAAGGAAAGAAAGCTAAGGAATTCATCATTGTTTTCTCTCTTTAGCTCAGGCAGCTCTTACATCTGCCAAAACCCACCTGCCTCTTTCAGTTTCTCCCTCTCTAATATGCATTTTTTCCTCATCTGGTTTGTTTTCTTATTGTTGTAAGACTTTAAAATTTAAACCAACCTGAGAGGCGTGCCTCAGGTTGCAGTACCTTCATGTGGGGTTTGTTGGCACTTGTTACTACAGGTGTGTGTTGCTTTTATGTATGGATCCAACATGGTGTAGCATAAAAGGCTAGAATTATGATTTTGGCAACAGCCACTCTTGCTTGGTATGGTGTTGTATAAATGTATTGTATGGGTGGAGACTGAGAACAGCCAGAGGGTGATGGGATGGGACTGAGACAGTACTAGAAGCAAATTGCTTATGCTTTCTTTCTTTCTTTTTTGCTAACTACAAAACTAGCTGCATCTGCATAATCTTCACCCTCTCATTTCAGGTATCTTTTATAATGAGATCATAATCCAAAGCAGAATAATCTTCCAGTTATAATGGCACAAGTCTCTCTTTGTGTAATTGTACAGGAATATTAGAGAGCTTGATGTGTGTTTCAGCAAAAGTTTGTTCTGTCTAAAGTGATGCTTTATTCAACTTGTATTTTTAAAGCAAAAAACCCAAGGTGAATCTGTTAAAAAACAGCTTTCATTTGGAGCAACTGGATGAAAGAGAAAATCAGTGGTCTCCTAATGGCCAATGCTTGCTCAAAAAATACCATCTTTGTACCTTGAGAAAATGATGGTTTGTGGCAATTTACAGTTTGATGAAGTAGTTGTCTTTGTAACTTTGTGGCATTGGGTTTGGTCTCATCAGTTACTGTTTTACTTATTTCAATGGACAGATTGATGAAAGAAAACAAAAAGCACCAGGAACTAATTTTGGACATTTGTTCAGAAAAGGACAACTTGAAAGATGAGTTGAGGAAAAGAACAGAAACAGAAAAACAACACCTCAACATTATTAAACAGGTATGGAATGTTGTACCTATTAAAATTTCACTTGCGATTTTTTGCATAAATTTGTTGTGCTTCTTACACTTATTTTCTTTGTGCTTCTTTGCGGGTCAGTGTATTTTCTTTTGCGGAAAAGAATATCCACAGCTATGAAGTATTGTTGGTTATGTTACGCAGCTTTCTTCAATTAAAATACAACCCTATGGAGGGCAGGATATGTGGAGATCTCATCACCTCTAAGCCTTGAGATGTTTGTAGCAGGTACAGCAAAAGGAGGTCCACTCTTTTTCTATTTCCTGTTCACTTCTCAGTCTTCCTTTTTCGCTTTTATTTTTTCTGTCTCAGCAACTCCTAGGGGAGGGAAATTCATTACACTAGCTCTGAAACAGATGGAGGTTTCTCCTTATTGGGGGCGAGTGCCATCAGGACCTGGGATTCTGGAGGTCCAAGGCATTCCTTGATAGGACAGTCATTTACACACCACCTTAAAAGTGGGCAAGTGTTACCAAAAGAAGAGAGGACATTGCCTTCAATAAAATTCCACGTGGTGATTTATCTGCACAACTGCAAATTAGAATTTTTTCTTCAAAATTTAAGAAGCATTGCAATACATCTCACCTGGGGTGGGGTAGAGGTGGGGACTCAGACCATGTCACCTTCTTAATCTGCTTGTCCAGGTGGTAACTGCAAAGGAGCATCAAAGTCCTCCATAAAGGTCTTCATTTTTCATGTAGACTTTAGTGGACATCTCTTCAAACAATTTCAACCCTCATCTCCCCTGAGTGGGAAAACTGTGACCATGTCACCTGCTGAGTCTGCTTGTCCAGGTGGTAACAGGGAATCAGAAATGTTAAGGTCTCTGTTCTTCCCCATTATGATTCTTCATCTGTCTGTTGGACTTCAGTCAACCTCATCTTAAATAGATACCTTCAAAAAGAGCTGCCCTCTGTGAGCTTATCAGATAGAGGACCATCTCCTCTATAAGGGTATTGCATGGCCACTCTATCTGTGACAGGCCCCTTCTTTCTTCCTACCACCATCTGAGCACTGACAGTGGAAAACCAGTTGAGACAGAGATTTCTGTCTGCAAAAGGGATGCATCTGGCCCCAGGTTATTGTTTCTAACTGCACACCTCCTTTCTGCCTATAGTAAAAGTAGGGTTGCAATTACTTGTGGGCCTGAGATTGCCTTTCAAAGAACCATAAGAATATGCCTTAACTGTTTCAATAGCTTTGCAGTTTTATTTGGTGAGAATTCTAATTTTGGGTGTATTTCTTGGAGGAAAATGTGTTACTTGAGTTTAGAAAGATTGTATATAGAGGAAGTTGCTCAGGTAAATATTTTGGCAGGAAACCTGTTGTGCATCATCTTTTACGCAAGTGAAGTCTTCATTCGGAATATCAGATTTGCATTTGGACAAAGGGTTTTGCATGCCTTCTTCTGCAAGCAATGGAAAAGTCAGACTGCGTGCTCTACAGTTGTTGCATGAGTAGTTTGACCAAAGGGATCCTGGCATTTGATTCCCTCCCTGCGAAGATTCATATAAATATGTAATACAACTATTTAAAGTGTTCCATGTGATTCAGAATTGGAGGAACACTGAATCCATTGGCAGATGTTGGGCTGCACGGTGAAACCAAACTAAGAAAACTGGGCTGATTTGCTACTTCATCAGAACTGACAAAGTTGTTGTATAGAGGGATATTATACTTTTTACTTTTACTTTTATTGGACTTTTACCCTGCCCCCCTAGACAAGGTCTATTATGACTTTTGGCTGCCATAATCTAGCTCTTATGGCTAAATTTGGCCCATTTTTTAAATGCAATAACTTCTAATCTGTTCAAGCTGCACATTAACAAAGCACTTTTTTTGGGGGGGGGAGTATATACTGCCACTGTTCTTCTTCTAACCTGCTCCTCTCTTTTCAGTTGGAAACCAGAATAGAGGACCTCCAAAAAGAAGTTAAAGCTGCTAAAGATAAACTTGTATCCCAAGATGCTGCTGCAAAAAGTGCTATCCAACAGCTGCACAAGGAGATGGCTTTTCGTACAGATCAGGTGATCTTGGTGGTTTCAATTTCATGCATTGTGCCTCAGGAACATATTCTCCGTAGAGACCTGAAATAGTATGTAGGCACCATGTGCATAAAAGAAGGGAAAGTGTTTAATGGAATGCTGAGCATACTTTGTCCTGGACAGGTGCTAATGCATGGGTGCCAGAACTCACACAAAGAACTAGTGTGCAGAGGGTTTAAAGTGTTGCACTATGAATGAGGCGACAAGATTCAAATTCCCAGTCCTCAATGGAGCTCTTTTAGGGCAGTATTATCCTCAAATCCCAACTCCCCCCCCTTTTTTTTTTTAAATCTTCCTTGGAACCTTTCTTTCCCTTGAGCATTGCTTTCTTCTTAGTTTGGAAGGAAGAAAGAGAGGTGGCTGATGTATCATGTAATGCAGCAGCCATCACTCTTGTTTGATCAATTGAAACCTGTCAGCACCTCTGCAAATGTCACCATGGTGGCCCAGTAAAGTGTGGTAATTTGTGGACCTGAATTAACTAGTACTTAACGTAAATCACTGTTTGTGAAAGGAAGACACATTCATTTTGCAATGGAGATGTTAAAGGAGTGACATTGGAATTGCAGCCTTTCTATAACTCAGTGCCAGATTCCGGTGTCCAGTGTTTCACTGATATCATTGGACAGGAAAAATGTTTGTCTTCCTTCGTATTTGCGAAGGCTTTCACGGTCGGGATCTAATGGTTGTTGTGGGTTTTTCGGGCTCTTTGGCCGTGTTCAGAACATGGCCAAAGAGCCCAAAAAACCCACAACAACCATTTGTCTTTCTTCCCTCAAGCAACAGGAAAGGAAAAGAGAAGGAGGCAGGAGAACATGAGCCAAAGACTTACCGTTGCTAATCTTCATTATGCTAAACCATGGCTCAGTATTTTGTGTGAAATTTCCCAAGGTTTTAAGTACATATGTTACAGCCTGACCCCAGTTTCCAGTCCAGTTCAAGTAGACCCAACAAATCAACCCAATTATATACACATTTGTTTTGTTCTCTTCTAATTAGGTATAACAATGCGACCTAAGCGTATGTCTCCACTTACTGTATTTAAATCCGGGCTTTTTTTGTGGGGGGCAGGTGCAGGGAGAGATTCAGAGCAGTATAACATTTGAATATCCAATGCCATAGCTTTATTGAGAAGAAGGAGTTGGGGCTCCAGCTTCCTGTGAAAGGTGAGAGAAGCATAGCACCATAACTCCATCTGTACTGTTCTGAAGCTCTTCCCCCACCCCAAAAAAGGAAGAATTCAAATATGATAAATGAGGCTAAATGTGGGTTCAAGTATAGGTTACAGAGGAAGTGTGAAATGTCATAGAAACCATTCCCCTAGTCATAAGCTTTCATGCACTGCAACTATTTGGTAATCTTTAAAGTGCCACCAGTTTGTTTTGCTACAACACATCTACCCCTTCCCTGTCAGCAAATCATAATTAAACTGAATGCAATTTGTTGGATTTGAACAGCAGAGCAAACCCTGGTTAATAAAAATCACAACTAAGAGTTTCTGGTTGGAACAGGTGAAACCCTCCTCCATAGGAAATTGAGCATTCTTTAACCATGAATTTACTCATGTCATATTCTTATTATCACTTTGAATAGCAGAGAAGATCTGTCTTCACTGTCATTACCCAAAAATAAACTTGTAATTTTTCATATTTCAAGGCAAACAAGAAATGTGAAGAAGCCCGCCAAGAAAAAGAAGCAATGGTAATGAAGTATGTTCGAGGAGAAAAGGAGTCTTTAGATCTCCGAAAGGAAAAAGAAGTACTTGAAAGGAAACTGAGAGACGCGAATAAAGAAATTGAAAAGCACACTAACAAAATTAAGCAACTTTCTCAGGAAAAATCACGGCTTAGCCAGCTCTTTGAAAGCAAGGTATTCCACTTGAGCTGTGCCTCTTTGGGTAACTTATGTTCCTGCCACTGAATCAAATTTATTTATTTATTTTTATTTATTTGATTTATTTGATTTATATCCCACCCATCTGGTATATTCTACCACTCTGGCTGGCTTACAGAATATCAAAAACAATTAAAAAAAACATGAAAACATTAGTATACAACAATAACAAATAGTGCAGGAATAAATAAATAATAAATAGCAAAGCAAAGAAATCAGTAGTTGACAGGAAGAAAGGCCTGGATGTACATCCATGTTTTCAGTTGGCATTTGAAAGTACCCAGCGTTGGGGCCTCACGAATTTCCGGAGGAAATTCCAGTAACGGATAAAAATTCTTAATGTAGCTTCCTTTTTACCCAAATGTGGTGGGCTGTAATGGGTCAGAAGAGCCATATAGAAGAGTGTAAAGTCTAGTACAGTAGACTGTAAAATGGAGGGGGTGAAGACTAATTGTGTAAATCTTGATGTTGCTTGCTATATGCTGGTATAAATACCTGGGGTGTTTTTGGGAAGAGGGATGGAGGTCTGCCCACAGAACTTTTAACTACCTAAGACAAGGATCCTGGATAATGTATGTGTCTAATCTAAAGTTTGTTAGCTGGCTGAATAGTTTAGTGAGTGAAGCCAGAGGTTGTGAGTTTTATTCCTCTCTGTGCTTCCCTTGAGAAGAACCAGCCTGTGTACCCTTAGGCAAGTCACAGAGTGACAGGACACTCCCAGAAAAAGGCAATGGTAAACCATGTCTGCTTATTCTCTATCTGGAAAACCCTGAAAAGAGTCATTAAAAGTCAAGATGATTGTAATATATAGAAACCCAAAGATTAAAGTTGATGTCTTTTGGATGTTTTAAATATCATTTGATTAGGACATTTCTATATTTTTTTTCAAAAAATATATATAATTGATAGAAGACGTGCATGTATATCTATTGAGCTTGCTTAAGAGCAGCTTTAACTGGTGCTGTATCATCTGCATAGCTGTGCAACAAAAATGCAGTGAAAGGGATATGTAATCAATAGTGTTTCAGAGACATTCCAAGAGACAAGCCATTACTTCAGAGAATTAGTTCATCTTTTTCAGTACAGTGATGATTTTGCTGCCCCCATGTGGTGATATTTGTATATTTTATATAAAATATCTGGTATCAAAAGCCAATTTCATACAGTACATTTCCAGCATTTCTTTGTTCAGTTGCTTTTAATGAGGACATAATGCCTACATTGGCTTAGACATTTATTTGCATTAGTGTTCCCAGTTCTCCTTTTCTTCTGAATTAACAGTATTTTTTAAAAAATATAATCAATTGAGGAGTTAATATTTGGAACACAGATCAAATTTACACCAGTGCCTGTTTCCCTAGTACTGTACCTGTGACTGACCCTGGTTCCCCCAAAAATATGGAGAAGATGAAAGAGATCGGTTGGAGGAAGGAGGGAAAAAAGGAATGGAGGGGAAGAAGTGGTAAAATAATCAGAGATTATCAGAGATAATTGGGAGTATGAAAAATACAAGAATAAATGTACTGTAAGAATTCTGACCTGATACTATTTGGATATATTGCTGAGTTGATGTACATCTGAGTAGGATCAGGTCAGAATTTTTAGAGCACATTCAATCCTGTATTTTCCCTCTTCCCAAATGTCTCTGCTACATTTGGTCTCTGTGTAGACATCCTGAACTCCAGTTGCTTGCAGATATCATTTAAAGGGCCTTGATTTCATCTCGTAATCTTAACATCATCTTTTTAAAAGGAAGCCGAAGCCACTAGAATGTCAAGAGACATAGAAAAATTAAAAGAAGAAATCAACTCTCACGTGATCAAAGTAAAATGGGCTCAAAACAAATTGAAGGCTGAAATGGATTTGCACAAGGTCAGTATGTTTGTTGGGGCTCTTTTGTCTCTTTTTAAGTCTGTAGTGCTAGATTCAGTTGGCTTTTTAAAAAGCTGAGATTTCAAAGCCATCTGCTAATGTAGAGCAAGTCAAAAACCACAATGAGAATATACCTGAGATGGCAGTATTCTTGGAACCAGTTGTTCACATCTAATAAATGGTACTGTTCAGTATCTTTACAGTGGTGCCTCGTATAACGAGCGCCCCGTTTAACGAAGAAATCGCATAGCGATGGCTTTTTTGCCATCGCTTTTGCGATCGCACTACGATCTTGCCTATGGGGAAAAATCATTTTGCGATTTTTCCCCATAGGCACCATTTTCCCCCAGTTGAGCGGCGGGAGCTTTGAAGCCCCGCCGCTTAGCTGGGGGAAAATGTCGGCAGTGGGCTGCGGCCTCGGAAGGACCCCGAAGCCACCGTCCCCTGCCGACAATTCCCTTCCAAGCTCTCAAAGGCCCCCCTCCGATATTGGAGAAAGCCCTTTGAGAGCTCGGAAGGCTCTCAGCGGCGGCGGGGGAAGGGTACGGGGGTGTCGAAGGCTTCCAGGCCTCTGCCTGGAAGCCTTCCGGACACCCCCCCACCCTGTCACAGTAAAGATCAGGCTTTTCTCAAAACTGGCTTGCATTGGGGTTTTAATTTTTTTAAAAAATGAATAACTTTTAAATATACATCAATTAAAACATAGGTTTTAAGATGACACATCTCATAGGGTTTACATAGAGGATCTGGGGATGTCTGGCATATTATTCCAAATATTCCCATGCATTATTATGGCAGTGTGGTATCATTAACCAGTGAAAAAGAAACCACTAATGTTTCAAGTGCTGGCTCATTGTATTATTCCCATATGACTGTACAGAAGTAATAAAAGGAAGCCAAATTGGGATAAAATTATTAGAACTGGTATTGTTATTTGCATTCTTTACTTCTGTTCATTATTCCAGTAAAGCAAAATCCCACACTCATTTACATTGTGCATTCAAGGAAAGATCTGTAGGGTCTTTCTAATGCTTTGCTTTTGGGTTGGTATGGTGGACTTAAAAACATTTTTTAAATATATTGTTGAATGAAGGCAAGAGCTTATAGGAAGGGCTCCTGCAGGGCAGAAAAGGATTTTTCTGGATTAAGAATTCACACATTTATGAGCCTTAATAGTGCATTGTGCAGACATGAAGTACACAACCCCCTACTGCACATATTTGAAAATGGAAAAAGGCTAAAACAGTTGAATATATATATATGTTTAAATTAGGTGAAGTGTGTTAATGAATGTTTACACTGCATAAAATGGATTCCAGCCATGGCTGAGGTAACCGCCATGGGTCAGATCCAAGCCGCGGGGGGAGGGAGAAAACCGGATTAACCGGTTTTCAATGCATTCCTATGGTGCTTCACATAACGATGTTTTCACATAACGTTTTTTTTTCCGGAACCAATTAACATCGTTATGCGAGGCACCACTGTATATGGATCTACGTGGTAGAAGTCAGAAAAGGGTAAAGGGAATGATAGTGAAATAAAAATGAAAAGCTTTAAAATGTAAAACTGTGATATTTAGCAGTGCAATGGGAGATATTTAGTTGTGTTTAGCTAACTTCCTTCAGTTAATACAAAATGATAGGGACCTGATTACCAAGAATTTAACATACTGGCTGAAACTCAATAGTAAATCACAACTAGAGCAGGTCTGTTGAATCAGTGGAATTGATGGAGGAGTTGACTCACCCACTAATTCAGTGGATCTCCTCAAGTTATGATTTACTACTAGATTTAGCTATTGAGTAATTGGATATGAGAACAGTTCCATAATAAGGTGCTGTTTGACCATTAACCCTCTGCTGGTTAACAATTGATAATGTGGAGTGACCTTTTCCTTTATAGAGCGTTGAATAGAGATTGAAATTATTTATAAATAGGTGGTGTGTCTTAAAGAAGGATTCTTAACAACAGAACAGCTGTTCTTTATTGTTTATTTAAGTATTTAATATGGTTTGTTTTAATGTTGTAAGCCACCTTAAGTCCTCTTGAGGAGAAAGTTGGGGTATAAATATTTTTACAAAAATAAATTAAGTCAGAAGTTTTTAGAATGAGGCCTTTTTGATTTCAGTGTTAATTTTATTCTCTCCTGTCAATATTACAGTAGAATTCTGACACTTTTATGTAAAGCTTAACATTACAGGTGTTTAGGTAAATACTGTATATAACAAAGTGTGTGTGTTTTTAAACTGGTAGAACTAGTTACTTATTTTTTACAATATGGTTATTTATTTTCCAGGATACCAAAGATCGACTTAAGGAAGCAACAACAAAGTTAACTCAAGCGAAAGAGGAAGCTGATCAGATACGAAGAAACTGCCAAGAAATAATAAAAACATATCAGGTAGGTATAATGTCCTGTTGAACACAATAACCTTGGGTACACATTGTCTTGTCTTGCAAGTTCTCTCCTTGCTTCCCAACCATATATCTTTTAATATATCTATGAAGATCCTCAAGGGAAATGCCTTCTCTCAGTCTCACCACTTTCATAAGCACATCTGGGGAGGACTTGAAAGAAGGCTTTTTCTGTGACCCATTGGAGATTATGAAACTCCCTTGTTTGGGAAGTTTATCTAGCCCCTTTTCTCCTTCCCAACAGCTGGCAATTGAAAACATACATCTTTAGAGGGGCTTTTGGGGAGTCAGCAGACAGTTGGTCCTATTGTGACACCAGAAGGAGGGACTGGTAAATCCCTTATGAGAGTTTTGTACGTATGTGGAAAACCCTCGAAGGGCCACCCTAAGTCAAAATCAGTTGATGGCACCTAATTGTTCTTATTGAGAGGAGGCTGAAGAATAATATGAGACAATATGTAAAGAGAGAAGTAGATACGTTTGGTGTCAGTAATGTTTGCTGTTGACTCTCCTTCATTATCCCTTAAGAGGTTAATTGCTAGGCAGAATTGTACAGTTAGGAAAATATTTGTCTTTGTTATGCATCTGCTTTTCATGTTTCCATTGTAATATATGAATAGAGAGTAAATGCATCTTCCTTTTGGCAAAATATACCCAGTCCACACACATTTGGGTTAAGCATTTGTCACACAGAGAGTTATCCCCCCCCCCTTTTGCAGAGTTAGGGAGCAGCTGTTTGTTTCCAATCTTGACTTAATAAAAAGGTGTTTGGATTACAAATGTGGGATAGATTATTGTAATGGACCATTTATGAGATAAATTAAATTATAATTAAATTACTTAGTATGCTTAGTTGGATTTTTGAATTACCGTATTACATAAAGGCAGATGAAATTGTGGTGATTGTTTATGTAGGGCAGGAGTGGAGAACCTGTGGCCCTCCAGATCTTTTTTGGATTGCATTTCCCATCATCTCTTAACCTATTCCCATGATTGGAATTGGAATCCAGCAACATCTAGAGGGGTGCAGAATCATCAACCTCATGTAATGGTTTTGAAGAAAGCTCTTTCAGTCTGTTTCATTTGCTTTCCCCTGTCCCTTTCCTTAAAATACTACAATGGAATTGTAGGAGTCTGAAGAAATCAAATCCAATGAACTGGATGTGAAACTCCGGCTTACAAAAGGGGAACTGGAGAAGCATTTGCAGGAGAAGTCTGATCATCTAGAGGTAAAGATAATAATAATTGTTTCAGTTGTTACACTTTAGCAAAAGTTCAATATTGTTGTGTATTTGGAAAAAACAGAATACAGTGGTGCCCCGCATAGCAACGATAATCCGTTCCAGAAAAATCGTCGCTATATGGATTTGTCAGTATGCGGAACAAGTCGCTATGCGGAACAAAAAAAGCCCGTAGGAATGCATTAAAAGACGTTTAAAGCGTTCCTATGGGCAAAAAACTCACCGTTATGCGAAAATCCTCCATACGGCCGCCATTTTCGCTGCCTGGTAAGCGAGGAAAGGGCGCGAAAACACTGCAGGCGGCCATTTTTTTTTTACCCGGCGGCCATTTTGGAACCGCCGATCAGCTGTTAGAAAAAACATTGCTATGCGGAAATCGGTAAGCGAAACAGCTTACCGATCGTCGCAAAGCGATGTTTTACCATTTGAAACATCGCAATGCGATCGCAAAAAAGCCATCGCTATGCAGATTCGTCGTTAAACAGGACACCCATTATGTGGGGCACCACTGTATAGTCCAAATTGTAACTGCTACCAGTTTTGAAAGGGAAAGATCCCATTTTTCTCACCACATATTCAGTGTTTTTCTTTGTCTCTTTTAAAGGTACATCATGCCAAAATAAAAGAACTTGAAGATGTGAAGCGAACCTTTAAGGAGGGTATGGATGAGCTCCGAACCCTAAGGACAAAGGTAACAAAGGAGAGTGAAAGAATGAGATGCAGCAGATTACAAAGCCAGCCTGTACTCTTTTTCCACACCTATACCTTAGCCTAATACTCTTACATGATCTCATACATACATGGTCTCATACATGATCAGTGCAAGTTTTCCTTTCAAGTCTCTACCTGATTGGTATATAGAAGTCCATTTCTTAAGACTGCTTCTCCAGGGTCCATGTGTATGAACATTTATGAAGTTAGAATTATGTAATGATGTGCTGGTTACAAGTCCAAGGACTGTGACCAACAACAATTTCATCTCAGTATCTTGTTTCCTTGTTATGTTACTTAATATAGAAGTTGTAAATGGGCAATTTGGTCTTTCAAGTGCTCATTTCACCTAAGTATTGAAATTGGCAGAGTGTTCAGGGAATTTGGGCCAAACATAGTCTCTTAAATAATTCTTGCAGCAGACTTTTTGCTGTCTGTTTCTTTACCTTTATATTTTTACTTCCGGAACTGACTTGCAGTTGTGGAGGATTAATCTACTTAAGCAAAAGAAGCAGGTCCAGAAAGGATTCCAGAGCTACCTGTTCAGGGAATGCTTGGCTGTTTTAACCTTGAATTGATGGATTATCTTGGAAATGTATTGTGAACTAGAAAACTGCCATAATTTTATTTCATGTGTGATGGGTTGGTGGTATGTGGGATATAGGATTTTGAAGATGACCACTAGTTATTTGGAACCTTATATGGCATCATTCCCATAAAGACCTGTAAAACCCTCTCAGCACCTTGATAATGGTTGCATTTGACATCAAACTAAACTGTTCAGTGTGACTTAGAGAGTTCCATATTGAGTCTGAGGCAGATTCAATTATCCTTCCACTTTTCTTTCTCCAATGTGGCCACAAGGAGGAGATGATACATTTTCAATTTTCTTTTAAACTAACCACAGTGTAGCATTACTTCTGAACCCTAAACATTGATAAATCAAATCAAATAAATTTATTGTCAGTGTAAGTATATGCATAGTATACCCATAAAATGAAATTCACACAGACACCCAGAGACCAGACCCACATACACACACATTAAAAAATCCCCAAACATTCCCCATCCACTAAAAATCCCCCACTAAGAATACAAACATCTACACAGCAGGCTAAGTAACACTGTCCAACTATTCACTATTAGTGGTCTTTAGCTCATTATTAAGTGCAATTATAGCTCTGGGATAAAAACTATTCAGAAAACATGTGGTCTGAGTCTTAATTGTTCTATATTTTCTGCCAGACGGCAGCTGTTCAAAAAAGGGATGGGAAGAGTCTCTCAGGATGTTGTGTGACTTCCTCAGACAGCAGGATGTGAAGATGTCATCCAGGGTTGGTAGCTGGAACCCAATGATATTCTGGGCAATTTTAATGGTTCTCAGTAGAGCTTTTGTCCGCTACAGAGCTACTCCCAAACCATGCCAGAATGCCATAGGTTAGGACACTCTCAATGGTGCTACGATAGTAGGACAAAAGTAAATGCTGAGATAAATTTAACGTTCCGAGCATTCTCAGGAAATACACCCTTCTTCTGTGCCTTCTTCACTGGCATGTTGGCATTTATAGTCCATGAGAGGTCCTCTGAGATGTAAGTGCCCAGAAATTTAAAACTACCAACTCTGTCCACTGGAAGAGTCTCTCAGGATGCTGTGTGACTTCCTCAGACAGCGGGATGTGAAGATGTCATCCAGGGTTGGTAGCTGGAACCCAATGATATTCTGGGCAATTTTAATGGTTCTCTGTAGAGCTTTTGTCCGCTACAGAGCTACTCCCAAACCATGCCAGAATGCCATAGGTTAGGACACTCTCAATGGTGCTACGATAGTAGGACAAAAGTAAATGCTGAGATAAATTTAACTTTCCAAGCATACTCAGGAAATACAGCCTTCTTCTGTGCCTTCTTCACTGGCATGTTGGCATTTATAGTCCATGAGAGGTCCTCTGAGATGTAAGTGCCCAGAAATGTAAAACTACCAACTCTCTCCACTTCCTCGCCATTTATATACAGTGGTAAATGTACATTTCTCTTCCTCCTAAAATCAGTTATGAGTTCTTTAGTTTGTTTGATGTTAAGTGTAAGATTATTACACCAAAGTATCAACCCTTGTACTTCCTTTCTGTGAGCAGACGAGAGTATCAACCCCTGTACTTCCTTTCTGTGAGCAGACACATTGTTCTTATTTATGAGCCTCACCACTGTCGTATCGTCCGTAAATTTAATAATTGTGTTGGTGTTATACAGTGGGATGCAATCACGTGTGTACAGGGAATAGAGGAAGGGACTTAGCACACAGCCCTGGGGAGCTCCTGTACTTAGTACCAGGGTAGAAGAATGGTGAGATCCCATACTTACTGACTGTGGCTATCTGTCAGAAAGTCCTTTACACACACGAAAATCTTCTGAGGTAATCTCAGGTTGATCATTTTAAAAAAACAACCTATTGGATAGAATGGTATTAGAAGCAGAGGTATAATCCACAAACAACAGCCTCACATAAGTTCCCTGTTGTTGTAAGTGACTCATCTTTAAATCTTTATTCAGAGCTGGAAGAAGCAAGCCAGCTTTGTAAAAAAATTGAAACTGGCATTTCTACTAGCCATAATTAAGTTTAACCACAGTTTGCCAGATATAGTTGACATAGCAAGCTGTGTGGGCATAAATACTTAACTTCCCCAGAGTGGTAAAGAGCAATGCATAATCAAAACTCTTGCTCTTATGCCTACACATCATGCTGATCTATGGTTTAGTCATTGGATTTTAGGGATTTCAGTATGATGTCCAAATGTGATTTGGAAGAGAGGAAAAGGATCGGGTAACTATCACAGTAAAAATATTTTTATGACACAAGCACCTAATGATGCTTTCTAGATTGGATAAGTATGAATGACACTTTCTGTTTTTAGGTCAAATGTCTAGAGGATGAACGGTTGAGAACAGAAGATGAATTATCAAAATACAGAGAAATAATTAATCGTCAGAAGGCTGAGATTCAGAATCTCCTAGACAGAGTTAAAATTGTAGATCAGCTACAAGATCAACACCAGAGGTTGGTTGTTACATTTTTAATTTTATAGAGTGGGTTTTATTTTGGAATTAGAATATTTAAAAGTAAAGTTCTTCTAATATATAACTGGTGCAGCCAAAGAACCTTTGGATAATTTTTAGACAATGTTTGTGTGTTTACAAACCTAACCAAATGGTTTAGTCTTAGAAGCAGCAAGGAGTACAGTGGTGCCTCGCACAACGGGCACCTCGTAGAGCGATGAATCCGCTCTACGAGGCTGGTTTTGCGATTGCAAAACGGTGCCCGCATAGGGCGAAAATCGCAGAGCGAAGGTCGGTAAGCGGTTCGCTGGTCGGCGGGTCCAAAATGGCTGCCGGAACGAGGGGAGGGCGTGAAAATGCTGTGCGCGGCCATTTTCTGTTTTTAGGTCAAATGTCTAGAGGATGAACGGTTGAGAACAGAAGATGAATTATCAAAATACAGAGAAATAATTAATCGTCAGAAGGCTGAGATTCAGAATCTCCTAGACAGAGTAAAAATTGTAGATCAGCTACAAGATCAACATCAGAGGTTGGTTGTTACATTTCTGATTTTATAGAGTGGGTTTTATTTTGGAATTAGAATATTATATTTAAAAGTAAAGTTCTTCTAATATATAACTGGTGCAGCCAAAGAACCTTTGGATACTTGAGACAATGTTTGTGTGTTTACAAACCTAACCAAATGGTTTAGTCTTAGAAGCAGCAAGGAGTATTTTCTTGTTGTTTGAAGCTTCTGAGACAAGGGGCAAATTTCATTTAATGGACATTGTTGCCTGGTGTTTAGTTAATATTTGACTATAGGTGGGATAAAATCTATAATTTTAAATGATAAGAGTATTACCGTATTTTTCGCTCCATAAGACGCACCTTTCCATAAGACGCACCAATTTTTTAGGAGAAGAAAACAGGAAAATATAATCTGTTTTCTTTGTTCCATAAGACACACAGACTTTCCACTCCCCTGTTTTGTGGGGAAAAAGTGCGTCTTATGGTATGAAAAATACAGTATTTGATTATTTGAGGATATGCATTTATATTTAAAGCCCTGTTAATGACCCAGAACATAAATCACATACAGAGAAAATTACGGCCATAACCTTAAACAAATTCACAGTAACAAAGTTGTTGCAAGCTTAGCTTCTTCAAGCAACTGATATAGGGCAGATCAGGGGAAGGAATTACATGGCTGTTTATAGGCTTCTGAAGAATGCATACTAAGAATTCCTCACAGATTCCGAGCAATACCTTGAGGAGTATTGCTTCAAATATCTCCTCACCTCCAGAGGAAAACAAGTCAAAATACTTTGGGGGGGAGGCATGTCATGATTTACTGAAGTGAATAAAGCAAGTACAGAAGGATAACAAAAACTGCCTTTACCTATTTTTGCAAATGAGAAGAAGAATGACACAATTGCCTTCATGCCTTTGAGGAAGAGACAAATGAGGGTTTTTATTCTTAGCCATATCTGAGGCCAAACACCACCTTTGGCAGATACCTAGTTATGTACATAGGCCTCAAGGCAGGACACAATTCTATATTGAAATGCTATCACCCCACTGCCTACATACACACACAAGCACATATATGTTGTTTAGGTCTCAAATAGAATTTTTGGGAATTTTTAAAATTTGACTTCTGGTTTCTGAGAAAACAGGCCTGTAGGTTCTGTAGCTGGTAGAAAATGAGGGTGAGGAGAGCTCCTGGATTGCCCATCCTTTGCCTAGATCTATTAACTTGGTTTGTTTCTCATGAGAAGCCACTGCCTTGGAGAAATCTGGCTTTTGGGGATTCATTCGTGTCTTTAGCTTGCTGCTTGTGCTTGCTGCCTCCTTGCTCCCCCTTGTCTCTCCCTTGAGTTAAGCAGTGAAACAAATCACATGGCTATGGTGAGTTTACAGTAACATCTAAATCAGAAATTCTGGTTTGTCTTTTCCCAGATAAGCCCAGGTAATTTATTGTTCCCTTATGACTCTGGCCGTTTTGGGGAGAGACAAACCAAAGATCCCATTTTGGATGACATAGTAATGAAACCATGGGCTGAGGGGCCCTCTGACAATGGTTTAGCTGCTCTTGCTTGCTGGTGGGGCCATTCAAGCAGTGTGAGCTCGCTGTTTGTAAATGATATCCCAGAATTCTCTAGAAATTCAGCTTACCCTTGTGTCTGAACACGGCTACTATACGGCGTAGTGTCTGTGAAATGTTCCTGTGTTCATTGGCAACATTATCAAAAAAGAAAAAAAACTATTTCTATTATTTCTCGTTACAGTACATTCTTTATAAGCTGGAGCTATATTATTGTTAAATTGACATCATCCTAAATTTAACCATCAGAAATAGGTGTTTCACTAGGCACGTTCAGCCCACCGATCCACGTACAAAATACAAAAGGCAAGTTCTAAAAAGGGTGTGTTATCATAGCTAAAGTATTGGACTTGGGCATGGTAAACACACATAGGGGAACTATGGCTTCTAAACATTTTCAGATTGCAATGGCCAACAGCCCTAACTAGGATAGCTGATGGTGAAGAAGACGGAGTTATAGTCCAGCTGCCATATGAGGTTGCCCCATCTGGTCAAAGTCTGCATATATACATAATAGTTTAAGTCGGATAACTATATTTTCTGCCCTTAGCTCTATGGAAGAAAGAGTATATCACATCGCTAACTGGTGTCATACAGTTATGGTCATTTAGTTAACTGGCATTGTTAACTGGTGTATTTAAAAATAGTATTTAATGTATTCTTCTTCCACACTTCTTAATTAATTGTCATGAATGTACAATTTTGTGTTCAGTGGTTCGGATATCTGGCTGAGGAGTTAGAGGTTGGGAGTTTAATTTCCCCTGTGACTCCTTGACAGGCTGGATTCAATGATCCACAGGGTTCCTCCCAGCTTTGCAATTTACTTTCTTGTTATGTTATCTACATTTTGACCTACATCCCATTCAAAATCCCCCCCCAAAAAAGAACATTCAGTAATGTAATTACTCAATAATTGCTTTCTTTGTTCAACACCAGTAAGACTCCATCAAATTACAGTAGATTTACTTAGAATATAGCCTTGTAAATTACAGAACAATCTAATTTGTACATAATCAGAATAAAAACATCTCTGTTTAGACACAGAACGCTGTTACCTTCCCACCGAAGTGGTCCCTATTTATCTACTTGCATTGGCATGCTTTCGAACCGCTAGGTTGGCGGGAGCTGGGACAAGCGATGGGAGCTCACTCCATTGCGTGGATTCAATCTTATGACTACTTCGTCTTCTGACCCTGCAGCACAGGCTTCTGCAGTTTAGCCCGCAGCGTCACCACGTCCCCATTACAGAACAATCTAATTTGCACATAATCAGAATAAAAACATCTCTGCACAATTATCCTTCTATGCCATAGGGGTGAGCTAAGATTGAAAGTTATTTTTTATTCTCCTTGTGGTTTTACTGTGTCTCATACTTGCTGTTTATATGAGAATTTAATATATGCAAGTCTCATATAAACAGCAAACTACTCCTACAGCCCATATCTCTTGTACGTGTTGATTATCTGAGATGTATGTAGCACTGTTTCAACAATCATCAGCCTCCCTTAGGATTTATAGGACTCAACATTTGCATGTCCTTAAATTCCATTTGGCTCTCATTAACAGTGCAACACTAACTTTTTCTAGGAAATGTGTAATCACAATACCTGCAGTTTGCAACGAGTACCCTCTTAATGATCAAAATGAGTCCTGAAATGAAATGCTTCTTCATTTCAGAGTGAAAAATAAACTATTCAAGGTTAATTGGTTTCTAGCTCTTATGGCACTTTTCAGGAGTGAGCTGCTCAAGTAAAGAGTAAATCTCCCACAATATACCTTGTGTAGTGAAATCATTCCTACATAACACAGAGACTAATTTAGCTCACTAGCCATGTTTGACCCAAGAGACTGTGGCTTGTTTTCATTGCAAAGTATGTGTGGATAGCAATCAGTGGGAACCAGTCCAACAACTTGAAGTCTCCAGACTGGTGTTGAACTGAGAGGCCAAGAAGTTGGTATTTAATATATGCTTGTTTGGTTTGAATAATTCTTCTTAATTTTTAAATGTCCATTTTGATTTCACAGGGATGAACAAGAGATAAACTCTTTGAAGGAAGAAGTGGACAGCCTTAATAATCTGCTCAGCGACTTCCAGAAAGATATTGATGGAAGCCGGAAAAGAGAATCAGAGCTCTTGGTCTTCACTGAAAAACTGACCACTAAAAATGCCCAACTTCAATCAGAAACCAACTCTTTACAGGTGCAGCTTGATAAGCTTGTCTACAGTGAGAGAGATCTGCAGAATCAGCTGGAACTTGTTAGGCAAGCAAGAGATGAGCTGGTAAATTGAATTCTTATTAGATAATTAAAGTTTATGCAACTATTTTTTTCAATAAAATTCTACAGGTTTGAATAAGAATTCACTGTTGAGATCCATCAGTGTGCTTTGGTAGCCAGTACCTGCCAAATAGGGACTTCCTTTGAAGGCTTTTAGGCTTGCATTGTATCATGTTTTGTGCAGTGACAAGAGTTCCTTGTCAGGAGGAGAGACTCTGCTTTTGTAAACCAAACCCTGCTTTCAAAGGTTTCGTCTTGGGACAGAGGGTTTAAGACGTCCCAAACATGTTACAACATGGGCAGAAAAAAGCCCCAAACACACCCAGACAGGGGTGGTCCCTCTTCATTAGCCTGAACTAGAAAGTAGCTGGATTCTTTGCCTGTTGTACTCTTCCAGTTTTAGGCTGGTTAAAATAATTTCCTTTCAGCAAGGAAAAGGAAGGCTAAATTGAATTATTGGTTCCAACTAGAATAGACCCACTCAGTTAGTGGGACTTAAATATATGTTGATTTAACAAGTCCCATTTGTCCAGTATGTCTCCTCTGTTTGGGACTAACCTTTGGATTTAAGCTGGAGCTCCTTGATGTCACATTAGCTAAGTGAGGAAACAAGACTTCAAAGACATGAAGGATCCTCTAATACTCTAAGCTGATTGTAGTAGCTTGAAAAACCAAACTTCTTCTGCTTGTTCAAGTTGTAAATTGCATTCAATTGTAAGTTCTCTAGCAAGATAGGCCACATACGTACTAGCACCCGTAGAAGTGCTATTTAGGAGTACAGTATAGAGATACATGCCAATTGCAGATCTGAACAAGTGATATAATCAGAAATGAAGCTCACAGCAGGTATTGCAGAATGTGGGCCAAGACATTTTTCTGCCTGGGGCAAAACATGTGTACTGCTGCCACCAGCACATCTATGCACACATGCCATGGGACATATTAGTTGAAATAGCCAAGTTATTCTGGAGTTTTAAAAAAACTCACAAAAATATAAATCTCACAAAAGTATCCCTGGCTGTCAAAAAAAAAAAACATTTAAGAATTAAATAACAGTTTGCTGCTGTTTTACGACCTGCAGAATCTGCTGCCCTAGGAGGCCACTTTACTGTTTAATGGTACAGCTGGCCCAGGCATGATCGATGAGCCCCAGCTTCTGCAAGATGGGAGGGGGGTAATATGTGGCTGTCTGTGGAAGAATGAATCGCTCTTCTATAAAATGTACCTTCCGTGTCTTCTGTAATGATAGCAAAGCAACTCTTTGGCTGTGGCAAGTCAGGCTGGAATCCAGGAAGCCTGTAAAAATGTTTTTATTGATTATGGCTTTTATGTATGTATTTATTTATTTTATTTAACTTATATGCCGCCCACACTACCCGAAGGTCTTTTAAGAGTTCTTAAGCCTCAGAATGTTGAGGTTGAACATTCTGATAATGGTCATTTGGGGTTTTAAAATAGCTTCAGCTTTGATTCTGGTTTACTCAATTGTAAGTTTTATTCTTTTAGGTACCTAGGGAGCCTTCATTGGGACTGAAATGCAGTTCATAAATATTCTTTTTTTTCTCCTTTGTCAATCATTGACTGATTTTCCACTCTTCTCAGAACAGCTACATTCATTTTCTGTATTCCATGACAAGTTTATCCCTAGACTATTACAGAGACGTTTATATTCTCTTTTTCTCTCTTTTTGTTTGTTATTTCCTAATTTCAGGCAACTAAATTGGAGAAGGAAGAAGAACTTCACAAGGACAGGGTTCAGGCGCTACAGGCAGACCTGGTGTCTCAGCAGAAAGCATTAGCAGACCTTAACACCCAGGTGGACGAATTAAAGGATGAGTTGATTACTCAGAAGCGAAAACATGCAGCAAACCTGAAAGACCTCACTAAGCAACTCCAGCAAGGTTAACATTTCTCAGACCTTGGCTTGTATGCTGTTCTTTTTGCACATGAGTTAAAACATCCATGTTGTGTCAAAGAGCTTGTATTTTATTTCCCTAGCACGAAGAAAACTGGATCAGCTTGAAAATGGCAACTATGACAAAGAGGTCAGCAGTATGGGGAGTCGTTCTAGCTCATCAGGTAGGTTGTTCCGTGAATCTTGTCATCATCATCATCATCATCATCATCATCATCATCATCATCATCATAGCTGTTTAAACTACATTGTCCATCTACATTATTTTCTTTCTTTCTTAGAAGTTACTTTTTCTCCTGGATTTCACCATGCTTAAACTCATGCTGTTGAGGTTTTGTAGGAAGCCATTTCCAGGAGAGCTACTGTGAATACTAATTTCCTGTCTGCCTGACTTGCTTGAAAAATTACAAAACACTCTGCACCTTAGAAGGGATAGATTATGAGAACAGCAGTTCTTAATAGATAAAATATGCTGGCTGATAGCCATACTTTTCTTCATTATGGGGAAAAAATATCTGAGCAGAAGTTGGTTGTGTTTGTTCACTGATAAGGCAACTGCAGAAACCACAACAAACGAACCAGATCCAGCTTCTGAAATGAAGCTTTTGCTCTGAGAGTCCTGCATCTTGAAGTGAGTTGTGCAGGGCTGCCCTGGAATGTCAGAATAGGTATTCAGGATTTTAAGTCTCTTTCTGTCTGATTGATTTTTATCTTCAAGTGCACCTCAGGTGGCAAATAAAAATTTTGCTATTTTGAATATTCCCTTCTTGAAGGCTGGGAGTGTGCAAATGAAAAATGTATTTGCACATTACAGAGACTGAGCCTACTGCTTAAAAATTCATTGCTTCTCTCATACCTTTAATCTGCAGAGAACTCATAAGTCTCTGCTCGGTCTAGGGGCTTGCCATTAATCTACATGATCTGTAACTGGCATCAGTCCTCATTCTAGAAAGACCTTTAAGTTCAAAGCTTATTTTGTCAGTTTAGTCACTGGCAGCACTGGACTTCCATTTCTTGCTTGAAAAGGGATATGACCTTCCTTTTTTTTCAGGTATTCAGTGGGGCCAGTACTAAAGTGAGAAATGTTTAACACTATTCTGAAGATGTCCACGTTGTTTTAGCAAATATAAAAGAGGAACAGGCAAAACCAGCTGGGTTTAGAACTGTGTACTCTAGTGAAGAATTAACCATTGCTTTTGACAGGATCTCTCAATGCTCGAAGCAGCAATGAAGATCGGTCCCCAGAAAACAGTGGCTCCTCAGTAGCTGTTGACCATTTTCCTGAAGTGGACAAAACCATTTTGATTGAGAGAATAGTAAGGCTACAGAAAGCACACGCTCGGAAAAATGAAAAGATGGAATTCATGGAAGATCATATCAAACAGCTGGTGGAAGAAATCAGGAAGAAAACTAAGTATGTGTAGTTCTTAGTCTATCTGGCTGTTGTTTGAAAAATGTTCTTTGCAAGATGGCATTGTCAGTCTTAACACAAGTGCCAGGACCTTGGTCTCTGCTGCAACAAACATAGGACAGTTACCTACCGTATTTTTCCGTGTATAAGAAACCCCCCACTTTTCTAACCCAAAAGTAAGAAATATAAGTGGAACTTAGCAAAGCCCTGGAGGATCACTTTGATCCCTGCTTTCCCTTCCATTTGTTTTTGTTCTCTCCTCAGCTTACTTCCATGTATAAGACGACCTTCAATTTATGTTCTAAAGATTTTAGACAAAAGTATAGTCTTATACACGGAAAATACAGTAATTAGTTGTACAAATAGTGCCCCACATCTAAAAATAGCCTTTGGGTGTTGTTATGTTTAGTAGGTTGAGGGTGGAGGCACACTTTCTGTAATGAGTGGAAATTTCTTCCTTTTCTCATGCATTTGCACTAATACAGAAAAGCCTGTCATCAGTAAACAAGCTTACAACAAAATTAAACAAAAGTAGCACTGGTGCTTAGAGGATCATGATTCACAACTAATTTTGTTGAGATATATGAAGTAGTTTGTGCTGTATGTTGCTTGAAAGTGAAGCACTTCCAGAGCAATTTGATGTTCTCCTTAATTGCTATTTTTCATGCAAATTGAGAGTAAATTACCTACTGGGAAGTCATTAAGCTTGAAAGTATTCCTGCAGATTTTAAACACTAAGCTGTTTATCTTTGTTAAGGAACAGCTAACTTGTACAGTACTAATTTGATGTTCTCCTTAATTGCTATTTTTCATGCAAATTGAGAGTAAATTACCTACTGGGAAGTCATTAAGCTTGAAAGTATTCCTGCAGATTTTAAACACTAAGCTGTTTATCTTTGTTAAGGAACAGCTAACTTGTACAGTACTGTGGTGCCTCGCAAGACAAGCACTCTGTTTTACGACGAAATCGCATAACGATGAAGTTTTGCGATCGCAAAAGCGATGTTTCCTATGGGATTTTTTCGCTTTGCGATGATCGGTTCCCTGCTTTGGGAACCAATTCTCGCAAAACGACGATTTTCCTACAGATGATCGGCGGTTTCAAAATGGCCGCCGGGTTAAAAAAATGGCCGCCTGCTGTTTTCTGGGACGGATTCTTCACTGCATGGGCAGCGAAAATGGCCGCTCTATAGAGGATCTTCGCTGGACGGTGAGTTTCAAGCCCATAGGAACGCATTAATTGGGTTTTAATGCATTTCTGTGGGCTTTTTAATTTCGCTTTACGATGTTTTCATTCTACAGCGATTTCGCTGGAACGAATTAACATCGTAATGCGAGGCACCATTGTATTTGTTGCTTTGGTTTAAAACTGCTAAGTAATTGTGCATCTGCATGTCACGGCAACAATGTGTTCAAGATGTCAATTTTAGAAAGACGTGATTGCTACGCACACCTATCAGTGTCAATTTTTGATTCAAACCCCTTCCCCGAAAAGCTGGATTTTTATTTCAATGTCCCACATAGTCTCTACAAATTTACCAAACCTGTTATTTCATTTGCACATTCAGAACAAGCTAATCAGCTCTTCTTGGAAATGCATGCATCTAAATTATTAACTACAAAAGTGATGTCAAAAGATTGTCCCTCGAGGACCTTGCTATGTTAAAATTTGAGAGTGTGACACTGGAAGCCTGGGAGTGTGTCCTAAGGTTGCTTTTGTTTTGCA